GGCCTCAGTTGCATTTAAGGTATTGCTTTAGTTTCTCTGCGTTAAGGGCACAAATGCTAGCTAATTTTTTAGGTGTCTTACCTATCCTCACCCCTTCCCTTGTGTGCTTCTCGCTTTTTTATCATGTGCTCATAGTCTAATCCCCTTGTTGTGTTTGCCCTTGATCTAATGTCCACATATGAGGGAGAACATACGATTTTTGGTCTTTGGGCCAGGCTAACCTCACTCAGAATGATGTTCTCCAATTCCATCCACTACCAGCAAATGATAACATTTCATTCTTCTTCATGGCTGCATAAAATTCCATTGTGTATAGATACCACATTTTCTTAATCCATTCGTCTGTGCTGGGGCATCTTGGCTGTTTCCATAACTTGGCTATTGTGGAATAGTGCCACAATAAACATGGTGTGCAGGTGCCTCTGGAGTAACCTGTATCACAGTCTTTTGGGTATATCCCCAAGAGTGGTATTGATGGATCAAATGGTAGATCGATGTCTAGCTTTTTAAGTAGCCTCCAAATTTTTTTCCAGAGTGGTTGTACTAGTCTACATCCCCACCAACAGTGTAAGAGGGTTCCTTTTTCCCGCATCCTCACCAACACCTGTTGTTGGTGGTTTGCTGATGATGGCTATTCTATCAGGGGTGAGTAGAATCTTAGCTGGTTTTAATTTGCATTTCCTTTATTGCTAGAGATGGTGAGCATTTTTCATGTGTTTTTGGCCATTTGAATTTCTTCTTTTGAGAACGTTCTGTTTAGTTCACTTGCCCATTTCTTTATTGGTTCATTAGTTTTGGGAGAATTTAGTTTTTTAAGTTCCCTGTATATTCTGGTTATCAGTCCTTTGTCTGATGTATAGTTGGCAAATATTTTCTCCCACTCTGTGGGTGTTCTCTTCAGTTTAGAGACCATTCTTTTGATGAACAGAAGCTTTTTAGCTTTATGAGGTCCCATTTATCTATGCTATCTCTTAGTTGCTGTGCTGCTTTTCATTACTTATACTATAGATTTCCTACTCTTTCCTGTATCCATTTTTGAGTTATATCTTGGTATAGGGTGATATACATGGATCTAGTTTCAGTTTTTTGCAGACTGCTAACCAGTTTTCCCAGCAGTTTTTGTTGAAGAGGCTGCTATTTCTCCATCATATATTTTTAGCTCCTTTGTCAAAGACAAGTTGGTTCTAGTTGTGTGGCTTCATATCTGGGTCCTCTATTCTGTTCCACTGGTCTTCATGTCTGTTTTTGTGCCAGTACCATGCTGTTTTTATTGTTATTGCATCAAAGCATATTTCAAGGAGGAAGCACTGACAGTAGTAAAGATCTAGACTTATAAATTTTCACATGACAATGTGCTTTCACAGTGTTCATTCCATATCTTGGTCATCACACTGTTACCCTCCATTCATACTTCTCACACAGCATTTCGATGCTAGTTATAACAATAATACAAATAGAACAACATTATCGTTCAGAATCACATGCCTCAAGTGGCAGAATGCCTGCTTTTCAGGGGGTATGCCTTCAGTTCAAACCCTGTCTTATCAAAACCAGTGGCTCACACCATTATTCTAGCTACTCAGGAAGAATAAATCAGGAAGATCACAGTTCAAAGCCATTCTCAGTCACACAGTTCAAGAGACACTATCTCAAAATTACCCAACACATAAAAATGCTGTTGCAGTGACTCAAGAAGTGGTAGAGCTCCTGCTAACAAATGTGAGGCCCTAAGTTCAAACCCAAGAACTGCAAAAAAAAGAAACTCCCAATCCAAAATTTTCCTATATTGGAAATGTGAGTACCAACGTATTGATCCAAGTGATAATTTCTGATGTTTTAATGTACACTTGAGCCACATCTCTAGTCCAACTACTTTAATAGGTAAAGTAGATAGTGTTTACAAAATACTGGGAGGGATTATTTAGATACCCACAACTTTACCACTGGTTTGATAATATATGTCCTACAACCATTTTACATGTTTAAAAAATTCTTACTGGCCATAAAAGCACTACTTCTTTGAGAAGTCATTTTTAAAAAGCTTAGTAATGTGCTACTCATTATTTCTAGAAGTGAAGTGGTAGGGAGATTCTGTGAACATAAAGAAGATATTCAGTGTGGAGAAGTCTTCAGCCACACCCCAGATCATTATGAACCATAATAATCATACTGGAGTGGAACCAAGTGAAAGCTGTGTGTGTAAAGAAGTCTTCACCAGGCATTCACCCCTGAGTCTGCCTTTCAGGATTCAGAGTGGACACCACATAAGGATCAGGAATATAGAGAAAGGCTATATAAATATGAAGAATGTTGCAAAGTCTTTACTGCTTCCAGATTCAATAAAAGACATGAAAGAACTCACACTGGAGAGACACACTTTATATGAAAGCACTGTAGAAAAAACATCTTTTGTTTGAGTTCTTCACAAACATTAGTTCACAGTAGAGAAAAACCCTGTGTTTCTAAACAATGTGGGAAAGTCTTCTTATATTTCAGTGATGACCAAAGACGACAGAATTCACAGTGAAGAGAATGCAATGTATGCAAGCAATGTGGAAAGCCTTTACTTCTTTCAAAAACTCATGAGAGGATTCACCCAGGAGAGAAGTCCTTTTCATGTAAGCCATGTGGAAAAGCCTTTATATTGTACACTTCCCTTAAAATGCATGAAAAAAATCCCACTGGAGAAAAATCCTGTGTATGTAAACATTGTGGAAAAGTCTTCTATTCTCCCACTCATATTCAAAGACTTGAACAAACTCACAGTGGAGAGAAATCCTATGAATACAAGCAAAATTTTTTAGTTCTTCCAGTTACCTCAACACACATGAAGAAATTCACGTTATAGGGAAGCATTTTGCATGAAAGCAATGTGGAAAAGCCTTAAGTTCATCCAGATACTTCAAATCAAATGAAAGAAATCACACTGGAGAGAAAAGTTATTTGTGTAAACAATGTGACAAAGCCTTGGTTTATTTGAGTGACCTTCAAACACATGAATGACCTCACCTTGATAAGAAAGAAAGTCATCTACCAAAGCTTAAGCCAGGAGACAGAATACACATAGAAGGGTTTGTATTAAATACAGTGACTCATGGTTGGTGGAGTAGCTCAAGTATTTAGAGCACCTGCCAAGAAATCATGAGGACCTGAGTACAAGCACCACTATTGGAAAAGAACAAATGAAAGAATACAGAGTAAAATGAGGAGATCCTACCCCATGTTCATGGATGGGTAAAATTTATGTTGTGAAAATGGCTATATTACTGGATGGGATCTACAGTTTCCATGCAACTCCATCAAAATCCCAATGACATTCCATACTCAAAAATAGAAAAAAATCATCTTAAGATTCCTATGGAAGCACAAAAAACCCCAAGCAGACAATCCAATCCTGAGCAAAAAGAGCAATGCTGCTTTTAAAAAATTGCAAGTTTCAAAATACCTGACTTTGAATTTATGATCTAGAGTCAGAGTAACAAAAATATCAGGTAACAACAACAACAACAAAAAAATACAAGTAGACCAATGGCACAGAAGGCCCAGAATATTGTATATATATACACACATACATATTTATGTATATATATATTACACATATCCATAAGGAAGAATGCAATTATGTAATTTTCAGGAAAAATGGATGGACCCAGCTTCATCATGTTAAGCAACATAAACCAGACTCAGAGACAAATAAATGTCACACTTTTTAAAATTTTTCCAGTACCTGGGTTTCAACTCAGAGCCCATACCTCAAGCCTTTTGTGATTTCTTTTTTGGAGATAGGGTCTGGTGAACTATTTGCCCATGCTGGTTTGCAGTGGCTATGCTCCTGATCTCTACCTCCTGAGTAGCTAGGATTACAGGCCTGAGCCTCCAAGGCTGGGTGCAGGTTTACATCACGCTTATTTTCTAGAATTTTTACAACAGGGCCAATTTGGGGTGGAAAATATTGGGAAAGGTGCAGAGAAAGGGGAATTTGATGACAGGGGAATATGAACAAGTCATTATATGTATTCATGAAAATAGCAAAATGAAGCACATTCATTCTAAAATGGGGGAGAAGGGAGGGATGGGTGAGGGGGTAGAGGGAGTGAGAGAGGGGAAAGCAATATCTGTGCTCCTCTGATCATAGCGCAGTGAACCTCCATGAAGAAGCAATGGACACTAACATAGCAAATGAAGCACATTCATTCTAAAATGGGGGAGAAGGGAGGGATGGTGAGGAGGAGTAGAGGGAGTGAGAGAGGGGAAAGCACATTCTGTGCTCCTCTGATCATAGCGCAGTGAAACCTCCATGAAGAAGCAATGGACACTAACACAAGTCTCCACTCAAGTGGAAACCACAGCTACACGGGAGCGAGAGGAAACTTGATAAAAGTACCGATTTGCAAGCACAGCGTAAGATGTTCAGGAGGCGTGGGGAGAAGCAGGTGTCTGGTCTGGAAAGTCGGGACTGGTTCTGCTCAACACACTTAGAGCCAAGGCTGGGCCAGGTTCGCCCAAGGGGAGGAAGCTAGACGCGGGAGCGGTGGGAGGAATTTGTCCCTGTGTTCTAGAACCTGGCAGAAAACGCCCTCCTCTCACCCCGTCGTCAAGGGGCGGGGCCTGGATCATTATCCAATCAGAATGGAGTGCGTAAGAACTGACCAATGAGGAGCGCGGATCTTAAGAACAAACCCTCTGTACAAAGCACTGCCTTCCTTTCAGGAACCGCCATACTTGATCTCCGCGTCTAAGCCGGGAGAAGCCCCAGGTGTCCCAGCCTTGGCCGCTCTGTGTCCCCTGACTGCAGGAGCCTAAGGACGACGCCGGGTGTCTCGGGAAATGGTGAGATTTCAGCCGGGGTGGCAGACGCCGCGGCGGGGACCGGCCAATGCTGCGGTGGCCCCTGTGTGCTGTGCGTCCTCCCCCGGCTCTGCTCGTCCTCGCTCCTCTGGGCCGCAGGGTGGGGCTGGGCCGGAGCCGGGACTGGGAGAAGCGTTTTTCTCTGAATGAACCGGGAAGGGCAGTTCTGATGCGGGCCTGGGGAGAACAGCTGTCAGGAAGCCTGAGTCCTCGCACTTAAGTGGCTTTGAGTAGAAGGTTGGTGGAGACACAGACAGCATAGGCCGCTCCCAGGAGACCTCAAAAGTGAGGAGGTCTTTTGTCAACTGGGACGGAATTGCCATCCTTGTTACCACGAGGCAAAGAATTTGGCTGAATGATATTTGTGTTCCAGAACTTCATGGAGTGGAGAACTTCCAAGTGATGGAGGAGGATATTTGGCAGGAGAAATCTGAGCTGGTACGTTGACTGGGTGATGGCTTCTCTTTCTGGCTTCTAGGAAATTGTAGAAAGAAAGAAACCTCATAAAGACTAATGTTATTCTGGGAGCAGTGATGCACTCCTGTGATTTCAGCACTCCAGAATTTGAGGTCATCCTGGGCTACATTTAAGTGCCATTTCCTTTTCCCCCAAATTCTCATGTCCAAGTGAAAGTAGAAGGTAAAGATCTGAAAAAAACTCAGCCTAGCTGTGTCCTATACCAAGTACTGTGTCCAAGAAATATTATTAAGGTGATTTTCATGGATGGAAGTAAATCACATGTTCTTACATTTGTACAATGGAGGAAATAGTGAAGTGTTGATATTCAAAGCTGTTTAGGCCATGAGTAGTTAAGACATTAACATACAAAGTTAAAATAGTGTGTGATGTAAACCTCCATTTACAGTGTATGATGGAGACGATGTCAGGTCAGGGTAGCCTGAGCATAGTTCACAAGACCCCATCTCCAAAATACACAGAGCAAACTGTAATAGAGGTGTGGCTCAAATGGAAGAACACCTGTTTTGCAAGCATGACATCCCAAAAAATGTATGTGTCTGTTTATCTCTATATGTATGTGTATATACATACAATCATAGAGACGTACATATATGTTTGTATATGGAAGGAGGAGGCATCAATGTAAATAATGTCGAAATGCCTGTTGTCAGCCCTGGTGAATTTGATATAAATTAGCATGCTTACTCTAGTGAGAAATCCTGAGTAGATGACATGTTGTAAAGTGTTCACTTAGCCAACATGTAAGAATGCACATAAGATCCTAATCTTGCTAATGTAGCCAGGCAGCATTGGCTCTCACTTATAATTCTAGCTAGTTTGGTGCCTGATACTGGAAAGATCTCAGTTCAATGCCAAATGGGCTAATCATTCATGCAACCCCATCTTCAAAATTTCTAAACCTGAACTGGGACCTGGTTGTCCTCTGAAGGTCTCAGTAGTAACAGTCTGCTTTTTTAGAAGAGTTTTTCTTTTTTTTCTTAGCACACTCTGCCCTTCAGGACTGAGGAGAAGACATAAGTGTTGTCCTGCCCATGTGCTGCTCTCAAACCAAAATTCTCCTCCTTCATTGTGTTCTTAAGGTTCTGTCCTTTCATATGGACCACCACCTTCTTGTGACCATTGTTTTCAGACCTTTTCCTAGCCAGAATTTTTTTCTTTCACTAAATTTTGGTCTCAACACACAAACACATGTAAGCACACATACAAAGAGAGAGAGAGAGACAGAGAAAGAGGGAGGAAGAGAGAGAGAGAGAGAATGAGAGAATAAAAATTTGACTTCAGTATCTCCATTTCCTTCTACAGTCCTGTCATTCTCAGGGATCAGGGGATTCGGCTTCTCAGTCACTTCCAGTAGCAGTAACATTTTCATCTCTGCCCACTCCAAATCCCAAATGTGTACACCCTTCTCTTCCTCCACAACTTCCCAGGAATTTGTATTTCCCACTGTAAGGGTTCTGTTCTTTGGATCCCATTCTTATTCATAACACTTCAGCTCATTTGTCCTAACATGGCACTTATTTTCTGGCTTACATTTCCTGGTGTATTATTACACTTTTCCCCTTCCACATATGCTCAGATCTGTTGTCCTCTTTCTCTTTGTGGTGTATGAATTGTTTAAAGTTTAATTTTTGGTGTGAGTTTTTTTTTGACATTTACATAAAGGGAAACCTAGCTGAGGACAAGAATCAAAATATTAGACCTCAAAAGGTTTCTTGATATGACTACATCATTTCATATCTTTTAACAACATTTTATAAACTTCTACTTTTTTTTCCTCATTTCACCTGATTCCCTGTTTCCTGAATATTGAAATCATAGGAGAGAAACTTTTTCATCATCTTCATAATTGGAGATCTAAACCTATTTGCAACAGTATCTTCCACCTTCGTTCTTACTATTAAAGTGAGGTACTTATTTCTCCCTTAATCTAAATGGTGGTGCCTCCATACATCATTCAGATGTCAGCCCCTCTCACTGTATAATGTATCTGCTGGATTTTTCCTACTCTTTCCCCTTGTCTGTGTTTCCCCAAATCATTTTTCCCAGCTTTACATGTCATTGCCTCACATCCCCTCCTGCCCCATTCCCCCAAAACCTTTCAGATCCCACTGGTGGCCTGAAAATGCTATCTCCTCATTGTCACTGAATTCATTTAGTGTTCTCAAATGGATTTATTTGTACCACTTCACTAAAACTACTTTTAGTGGTGGTCTTGATGACCACCAACTTCATGGTCTCAATTAAAAAGATTAATTTCATGCTGTTTTTTGAATACCTAACAGGAACTTGTGGCATCTTTAGTACAACAGGACCCCACTTCTCTACATTTGCCCAATGCAGAGAATCTCTAATGGGAGAACTATGGTTGTACCTGCAGACTTTGTGTCAGTTCCTGAGATGCACATTTCTGTTAGGGACCTTTCAGGAACCACAGGCCAGCACATGGGCCTCTGCTATTCTGTGACCTCCTAATTCAAACACTGACCTGTGCATTGCTTCTCCTAATTCAGAATTAATCTTAAGACTGTTGAATACTATCAGTGTGGGGATAAGTGTAAACAAACTTAGCTAAAAGCTCAGGAATAACTAAAGAAAATGAACCTATAATGACTCTAGTGAGCCAATATTCTGGTGTGTACACTTGATGCAGCAGTAGTTGGAGGTTCCCAGAGTTGATTCTTAAGGAGTTGTTTATTGTCCCTCTTTACTCAATAGAAATCACCTTTAGGAAGAATCTGACACCAAAACATAGTTCCTTTCTTTGTTCTTATGGATGAATAGTGAGTCGTTTCTCAAACTTTCATTTCTCCATGTGAGGAAGAGTGATGCACACGTCCTAGATAACCCAACTTTGTTGCATTGTTCATCTGGTATTGTGTAATATGAATCACCACTTGGTATGCATAAAGTAGAATGATTGAATGGATTCTTTCCAAGGGCTTTATTCTACAAATCAGTGACAAGATTTGGTGACATTTACACAACACTGTCACGATAATAACATATAATCAACCAAATAATATAGTATTTTCAGGTGTATATGGAGGAGAATGTGGTCTTTGGCTTGCCTGTGATCTTGGAATATCATGGAATGCCTATGATCTTGGAGAGCCCTGATCTCATTTTTTGTTGATGGACAGGACCTTCAGCATCATCTGTAGAATCTCATTTTCAAAGCTAGGAATGAAGAAGACATTCCTCTTTTTTTTTTTTTTTTCTTTAGGAGGTACTGGTCTTTGAACTCTTTCTGTAGTGCTTTGTTAGGCATGCCCTTTACTGCTGTCCTCTGTCAGTTCCATTCTATGTTCCAACTCAGTGGAAGAGACATCCTATCAGTAAACATGTATGACCCATGATCTATTTCACCCATGCACCCACATGCAGTGAAGAATAGACCTTTGTGGAACTATGGGAATTGAATGACACAGTTCATTCATTCTAAGTGGATTGGTCTTTACCTGTCAGATGCCCCACCATTTGCCCTCAGCCTTTTCTGGTCCAGTTTTGGAACTTACCCCATATCCAAGGATGATGGATTGGTCAGAGTTTTGATAAAGGAAGCCCAAGACTTGCAGAACTAGCCCTTGTTTTCAGGAAGGACTAGGCAGTGGCGATATCTTACATGTGAGCAGAGGTTTGTGCAGTTGTTATTAAGTGAGGCAGGCAAGTGAATGAATGGTTTCCTAGTAGAAGGGACAGCAAATGCAAAGGTTCAAGAGACAGTGGCATGGGGTATTGAGGGAAATGAGTGCAGATCTCTGCCTCCTGTTAGGTAGGAATGCAAGTGTGAGCCACTGGCACGTAGCTGTAGTTATTTTTAATAAACCACTATCAAGCAGTATCTGAATCTACTGATGAGCAAGGGTGGTGTCTCACCTAAGTTTAGCATGTGTTTAACCTTCTGATTGTGGAGTCCCCTGGGAAATGTGTTAAAAAGTCTGACTTCTCTTTGTTTGCTTTGTGATATCTTAATTGTGTGTGTGTGTGTGTGTGTGTGTGTGTGTGTGTGTGTGTGTGTAGTGCTAGGGCTTGAACTCAGGGATTATACCTTGAGCCTATCCACCAGTCTTTTTTTTTTGTAATAGCTTTTTTTAAGACAGGATCAAACCTCCATCCACCTGATCTCTGCCTCCTGAGTAGGTAGGTTTACAGGCATGGATGGAAGTAGAGATCATGTTAGCAGTTTATAGATCTCTGATGGGTTGTCTCTGTAATCCTACTTGCTCAGGAGGTAGAGATCAGGAAGAATCAAAGTTTGAAACCAGCCTCAGCAAAGAGTTTAAACACAGTACAGAAAATGAAAAATTACTGGAGCTAAAAGACAAATAATGTAGAACAAAAATATCTCTAATATATCCTTTATAAAAGTAGTAGCATACAGAGTAAGAATGAATCAAAGTAGAATTGAAAAATGTCCAAAACATAAAGAATCCAAGTTGGAGCTTGGATGTGTTACTCAAGCAGCAGAGAGCCTGCCTAGTAATTGGGAATCCCTGAGTTCAAACCTCAATACCACCAAAAAAACCAAAACAAAACAAAAAACTCCATCCTAATTTAAGTGAGAAAGAGTGTATTCTGTAGATAGACATGTAATTCATTCCTCTGCTGCTAAATTAATACCCGGTTAACTTAAGATACCACAATTTTTTTCACAGAGCAGTGGCCAGGGACCTCCTGGAAGCAGCGGTGACAGATGCGGCCCCAAGTTTTTTTCTGGGCCCAGGATGGGGTTGGGCTAGAGCAGAACAGAGTTGTTTGTCCCATTTCTGGTGTGAGTGGCTTTCTCAGCCACCTGGTGCTCTATGGACAGCTCGACCCTGTGTGTCATCAACAGCAGGTGATGGCTGTCATAGCTGCCCCTGCCTTGTGCTGGGCTCCTTTCCATGTCTCCTTGGTGGCGCCAATTTTCCTGAGTCTTCACAACCTGGTGAAGGTCATGTAAACCCCACGACCTGTCC